CTGCCAACTAAAACTCTGAGGTGACTTCCCTAATACTTGCTGAGCACCTAGTGACCCTTCTAATAATTTTCTGTCTCTAGAAGCTCCTGGAAAGTAGACCTGGAACCCTGCTCACTGCCTCAAATCCCACCCCAGCCACAGAGAGCTCGACCACCATCAAGGCAGCTCAAATGATAGGGTCCCTGACACTCAGGCCTCTTCTCTGACCTCACAGCCTAACGAGCATCCCAGGGTAACCCGGGGTGAGTCTCTGCCCATCTCTGGGCCTTGGTGTCGTTATCTGTGAAATGGAGGGGCTGAACTTGGCGATATTTTCTTTTGAGCACTTTTGATTAGATTCATAGATTCCTTTTACTCTTTACTCAGTCTCCCCTAATGGTAACATCTTGCACACGGGACAATATCACAATCAGAAAATTGGCATTAGTATAATTTTTCAGATTCTATTTAGATTGTACCAGTTTGACATGCAATCATTTCGATGGTATTTAAAGCACCCTCCAGCCCATAGGAGAAAACTTCCCACCTGCTCTTCATCAAGCTCATGACTCATCTCCGGAGAGTAAGAAGCGGCCTGTGTCCATTGCAACACCCAGGAGTCTCCCCAGGCTGGGATTTGTGGGGTGGGGGTGGGCGGCTTAGTGTTGCTCAGTGTCGGGATGGATGAGGAGGTGGACGCAGTTGGGGACGGGGGCTGGCAGCCTCAGAGTCACATGCCACGCCCAAAGCTGGAAGTGAATTGGAGAAGAAATCCCATGTCTCTACTTGATTCTCTTGGAGCAGGAGCCCAGGTGGGTGCTGGAGTCAGGGATGCTGGAGGCCCGCTTGCTAACACGCCTTGCTGTGCCAGGTGTTAGCCCGGCCAGGTGAGGCCAGGGCCTAGACCCAGGTGTGAAATCCTCCAGGTGAGCGCATCAGCCAGATACATGGGGACTCAAAAACATACATTTCTCCCGCAGCACTGATCCTTTTAAACTAGTCAGGAATTTCTCCATCTGCGAATGAATAATTAACTTCCCCAGCAGAAGGGCAACAGCATCCTTGTTGTGGGGGTTGCCAGTGTCTGTCCCGCTGTGGGCCCGTGTCCTGTGCTTGGTAAGTGTCGTGGGCGTTCCGTAAACCAGGTGTCTGCTTCCCAGAGAGCATGCTGACAGTCTGCTGTTGAGCTGCAGGCCTGTGAACAATGTTCTGACTTCTCAGGCCAGACACTCTTCCAGAACGTGGGATTATTTTATTCCACCCCTGAAAAGGAAGGCTATTTATAAGCCGCAACTTTAACGCAGGGGCTGAGAAAGAAGGGAAGAGGGCGTGCCAGGTCAGTGCACTCAGAGCAGAGAGACGGCTGTTACTTTCTTTCTGACTCTCTCTTCCTGCCTGTTCTTGTTCCTCCACTACGGGACCCTTGCTCACCTGGTTCCTGCCTGGGGCTCAGAAATGGTATTGGCATTGGAGGCGAGCAAGCCGGGGACTCCAGCCTCCACCCTCGGGTGGAGGTCCTGCCTACAGGGGCGCTGCGACTCAGCACCAAGGGGCTGGTGCCCTGGGGGAGCCCCGGGAGGCCAGCTCCCAGAGGACCAGGGGTGCTCCTCTGTCTGGTCCCCTGCTGTGTTCTCAGAACCTGCTTGAATGCTTGGCACAAAGTAGATGCTCAGAAAATATGAGCTGAATGAATGAAAGCCGACTGTGTTGCAGGAGCTTCCAAGTGTTCAAGGGAAGCCCAAAATGTGGATCCTTGTACGGAACTTAAATCTCTGTAGCCAATTTAAAAACATTTGTGAAACACCACGTGGTCCAGATTAGACACGTGTGCAGAGGGGATTCTGCTTGTCGACCTAAATCCAGGCCACCTGAACCTCTCTCTGCTCTCCAGGAAACCCTACGGGGGCCGGGACACTGATCAAAGTGTTGTCACTGATGGCCTACAAGGACCTGGCGGCCCAGCCCCCACCAGTCTCTCCATCACCAGGACGCAGGAGCACCGGCCTTCTTTGTGTTTCTTAAATGACTCTGGGTCTTCAGTGCTCTCCCATGAGGACTGGTCCTTCCCACGAAGCAGGAGAGGCTGCTCGTCCCCCACACCCCCCAGTCCAGGGAGACTGGCCTTGGTGCCTGGCCCCCTGGCCTCTCCTCCCAGGTCCCTCCAGCATCCTGCATGTCTGCATACAACCCATCCTCCACCTCTATTCTTTGACCGTCTGGTCCCTTTATTCCAACCACCCCATGCCGTGGCCGCTGTTGGCCCTTGTCACCTGCCAGGATGGACCCACCTCTGGAAGGTTCCAGGCAAGCATTCTCACTCTGTGGCCACAACCTCCTAGTTTTCTTGCTCTGTCCCCCAGGTGCTCCCACCACCCCGTTCTTTAACCACACCAAGGTCACTCTACTTTCTTCACCTCCTATGTTTATTTCCTTCCCCAGTTTAGCCATTCCTCATGATCTGACCAGTCTTCCCAGTGCCCCTGAACTCTGGCTGTCCGTCTGACAAGTCCCATCTCTGGAGCAACCTACTGTTTGCCTTTCTTGGGCCCGCTGAGCATGGCTGGAGTAAATCACATAGGAACTGCACGCCTCCGGCTCCAGCCAGGCCCTGGCAGCTGCCATCTCAGCCCTTGGCCATCACAGAGCCTTCCATCACCTTCCTGCTCCTCAGACCTCAAGTCCCTGCATAACCACCTGGTACTGCTTTCCTCCATCCTCCCTCCTGACCTTTGAACCCTCCTGTCTCTGGGTCTGATATGTTTCTTTTATCTGGAACACTCCTTTCCCCATTTTGCTTGGCCAACTGCTGATCCTTTGGGATTCAGTGTATATGTCTCTTCCTCCCGGAAACCATCTCCAGCCATCCCCTCCCAGCTCCCCGGGCTGGACACCCCCTCTCTGTGCTCTCGGAGAGCCTGCTCTCACCCTCTCACCCCGTGCTGGAGTCACCCAGTGCTGTGACACTCTCCTAATTATTGTCCCCATTGCCACGAGCTCCTGGAAAGCAGACATTCTCAGGTCAACCCTGGGGACCCCAGCAGCGAAAAGAGCACTGAAGCATTAAGTGCCAATAAGTATCCTTTCGCACGCAGCCCCCGCTTCTACCCGTGTGTCTCGGTTATGCCCCAGCAGATCTTCCTGCCTCTCTCCGTGTGTCCAGATTCTACCCCTTGTCAAACTCAGCTCACAGTTTACTCCCTTCACAGCCTCTCTGTTGCAGCCTGGAAGGAGCCCCCATCTCCGCTGTGTGCTCCTGGAACTGGGTCTGTGTGATGCTCGTGCAATTTCTTGTTTTCTTTCTTTCTTTCTTTTATTTGTACTATAATTTTTTCGATCTAAGTAAGCTCTTTGGAGATAGGCCCTCTAGCCAGCGCATCTCTGCATTCCTAGCGGAGGGTGTCATAGCCGGGAATAACCTGGAACGTTGTGAATGGGCAAGTGGATGTGGGATAAGAGATACTTACTGAAAACTTGTTTCCTGTCGCTGTAACAAATTAACCACAAACTTGTTGACTTAATGCAACATAAATTTATTATCTTACGGTTCTGGAGACCACATCCGAAATCAGTGTCACTGGGCTAAAGTCAAGACGTCAGCAGGGCTGGTTCCTTCTGGAGGCTCCAGGGAGAAGCCTTGCCAGTTGATGCTTCTGCTGGGCGCCTGCAGTCCTTGGTGTGTGGCCCCTTCACTGCATCCCTTAGACGTCTTGCTTCTGGTGTCACATTACCTTCTCCATCTCTGGCCCTCCTGCATCCCCTTCGTAAGGACCCTGGTGATGACACTGGGCTCACCCAGATGATCCAGGATAACCTGCCTGCCTCAGGGTCCTGAGCTTAATCACATCTGCAAAGTCCCCATGACCGTATAAGCCCTGGGAGTTCCTGGGACTGGGTCCCGGTTATCTCGTGGAGCCTTTACTCAGCTACCACAGTCACATTCCTTACGTCCCAAGTAATTGATAAGGAAACCACACTTCTCGGCTCCCTGCTGTTTTAATTCCGCCAGAAAAGTTGGAGGATTTCTTTCCTATGGGACAAGGACATTGAAGTGAGACTTCTAGGGAGGCACTGTTTATAAAGTTCCCAGACCTTGGTCCTGAAAAGCCGTCCCCAAAAGACATAAATTATTGGATTCAGGCAGCTGTTGAGGAAGGCAAAGAAGTTGGCCCACTGCAGGCCCAGGTCGGTGAAATTCTCCCAGAAGCAGCCTCGGACCGCCCGCACCTGGAACAGGAATTCCAGGAAGGCAAAGAAGTGGTAGGGGGCCCAGCAGATCAGGAAGGCGGCCACGAGCGTGAGGATCAGTGCCGTGGTCTTGCCGTCCGTGGGCCCCCCGCGCCTCGTCCTGCCCACCTCCATCCGCCCTCGCAGGGCCGCCAGGATGTGATAGTTGAAGAAGACAATTGCCACCAGCGGCAGGAGGAAACCCAGCACGTTTAACTCCACCATCCTCGCGAAGGGCCAGGCCGGGTGGGGGAAGAGCAGCACGCAGGCGGAGACGTTCAGCTCCGGGACGGCCCTGACGGAGCGCAGCAGGAAGGTGGGGGTGCTCAGCAGGCCGCCCACGGCCCAGATGAGCGCGCACGCGGCCTGGGCCCGCCGCCGCCGCCGCCGCCCCCGGCTGGCCATGGGGTGCACCAGCAGGCGGTAGCGGTCCTGACTGATGGCCACCACCAGGAAGATGCTGATGAACAAATTGGCCTTGATGACGCCGTTGACGACGCGGCAGAGGGGGGCCCCAAAGGGCCAGTTGAATTCGTTCCGGATGTTCTCTGCCCAGAAGGGCAAGCCCAAGACAAACACCAGATCGGAAGCCGCCAGGTTGGCCAGGTAGATTTCTGCCGCGTTCAGGCGCCGTCGGGGCAGCAGGAAGACGGACAGCACGAAGAGGTTGCCCAGCAGACCGCAGAGGCAGACGGCGATGATGAACGTCGGTAACACTCTGTGCAGCAGGTCCCAGGCTTCCGGAGCGCTGTCGCAGGACGTGGCATTTGGAGGCGGGAGCTGGCTCTGGTTGGAGGCCTGGAGCTCCAGGAGGGCCCGGGAGGCCATTCACAGCACCTGCAATGAACAGCAGGTAGCATCACTGCGGAGGCGGCCAACTGTCCCCCAGGCGGACCCAGCCTGGGTGTGGAGAATAAAGTTTTATTGGCACACGGCCACACCCATTCCATTCTGTGTTACAACAGCAAAGTTGGGTGGTTGCAACAGCGGCGCTGGGCCTGCACAACTGAGACTATTCACCACCTATTCCCTGGGAGGAAGATTTGCTGACCCCTGGTATAAAGGGAAGGACCAGGGCTTTGAAACCTGAGTATGAATCCTGACACGACCACTCGGTGTGGGCCACTTAGACCCACTGGCTTTTATTTCCCTTTTTGAAAACTGGAGCACATCCTACCCCTATTGTGGGACTGTGGTGAGGACCGGGGAGGGTATCCATGGAGAACTCGGTGTGGTTGCCTGGCACAGAGCAGGCACTCAATGGAAGTGGGCTGTGGGTCTGAGTAACAGCCATGCTATTATTATTAACAGTTTCACAAACGTTGAATGGGCACCTACTTTGTGCCAGCACTTTGCCAGGTGCTGGAGATACAGGGAACAGGACCCCGCCCCATGAAGGTACCCATCATCTAGACGGAGGCAGACGAGGAGACGGTGGTCCGTGACTGAAATCGGCATCGAGCAAGGCTGAGGAAGAGGCACAGCCAGCGGGTTTGCTGATGCACCGGGCTGGACCCGTAGGGTGTATGGATGGGGGCAATTGTAGCAGGCGTGGCGTTTCTCGGGCTCCACCCCTACAAAACCTTCCGCCCCCTGGATGAGTGAATATATGCAAAGTGCTCCTAACGTTCCTGGCCCTTTGTAAGCACTTGCTACTCGTTAGCAGTGGTGCTTAAGAGTCCTTCAGCTGGGTAAAGTTCATAGTACCCAACGCAAGATGTCGCAAAAGGAAGAGCCTATTTGGCTCTGCGATGCGAGGCAATCACTTTGAGTCTTGGAGCCCGGCTTTCCTCCCCTGAAGAGGATGCGACAAGCTTCTCCCTGTGACACTGTAACTCACACACTGGGCCATTCACAGCAGCTACAATTTACAGGTTCCTCATCCACTCATTGGTCCACTAGGCAAGTGTTCACTGGGTACCCACTACGTGCCAGGCACTGTTCTGTGCATTTGGGACACAGTGGTGAATCCAAAGGGCAACCCCCCCTGCCCTCAAGGTGCTTCTAGCCTAGGGGCAGGAGAGAGGCGCTGGCAAGGAGCATGCAACAAACCTGCTAGCAGGGGAGGGGCGGCAGTGGAGGCAGTGAGCCGTGACCCGGCTCTAGATACATTCTGAAGGCAGGACCCCCATGGTTTTCAACTGGATATAGGTTATGAGAAAGGGGCACTTGTATGATGCCTAGATTTTTAGCCTGAGTACCTGGAAATAGGAAGCTGCCATCAACTGAAATAGAGATGACAGGGTGGAGAAAGCCCATTTTTTGGCAGGGGAGGATCAGGAGTTCACTTTTGGACGTGTTAAGGTTGAGCTGGGTTGGAAATCAAATGAGGTGTCAGGGGCTGTTAACTATACTGGACTGGTGATGGCGGACCAGGTCTGTGAGATAATGATACACAGCTGGGAATTGTAATCACATAGATGGCATTTGGTATTTAAAGGCAGAGGACTGGGTGAAATCACCAAGGGAGCATGGGGACAGAGAAGAGAAGCTGGTGGGCTGCCAGTTGATGGGTCAGGGGGAGACATGGGAAGTTATGGGCTAGGTGGCTCTGATGGCCCCATGGCTTACTGAGTTCAGACCTAGAGCGTATGGAAAAGCAGGGGTGCTCTTGTTTTGCTATTTATTTCAGGACACAAATCCACAGCTAAATGTTTGTTTTGTTATTTGGCAACGCTTTTAAACTTTGCAAGAAACACTTGGAGTAGCAAAGAGACAAAAAAAAAAAGTTTAATGAATATTTAAGGCCTGAACTTCTGTCTCTCAAGGAAGTTGACTGTGAACGTGGAACGTGCACAAAGTGTCTGTTGATGTTTGCATCATGATGGGGACTGGCGGTTTCACTGACCACAAGGAAACTTGAGACAGAACTGCTATCAGAAGTTGGTGGGGCAGGGGCGAGGGTACAGCCCAAGGGGTAGGGCGCATGTTTAGCATGCACGAGGCCCTAGGTTCAATCCCCAGTGCCTGCTCCATAAACAAATGAGTAAACTTAACTACCTCCCCTCAAAAAACAAACAAACAAACAAACAAACAAAAAGAAGTGAGTCGTTTTCAAAGCTGGTGCCCTAAGACATAGGGGCAGGGGATGCTGTCTAGGGCACTCTGGAAGGATAACTTTTTGCTTACAGCAAACAACTCTCCTTTAAGTTAATTCAGCTCATTTTTGGTTCCAAGTCATCCTGTGCACATACAACGGTGGAGGTGATGGCTGATTAATGTGTCTGCTCTCCAAGAGCTTCACAGACAGTGAAATGGTGCCACTTTAGTGTCAGCATCCTTAGACTCCTCAAGTAGAAAAATCAGTCGGTTCCAGTCCTGATTCAGTTTTTCTCATCCCATTCATGGAATCAAAGCCAAACTATTGAAAGTTCACTCTGGCGAAGTGAAACAATGGACATTCTGTGAATACTGTCCTAAAGTCAGTTTACATGGTTCACATTGGAAATAAAGTTGTGCTTTTCTGATGACAGTGCACCCACAATTTGGCAGGGCACAGTGTCACGGTAACAACAACGCCCTTGCTAACATACGAGGCCAGTGGGGCAGAAATGCACTTTGAACAGGTCCTGGTGCACACACAATTTCTGTGTATAAATGAGTTTCACTATTTTACCACTGAAATGGAAACTCAGGAACTGAATTCCGGAAGGCTGTGTTCCCGGAGGGCCTGTGTTCTTGGCAGTGGGATTCTCATTTGTCTCCTGCCTCGGAGCCTGAACCACTGGGAGGTCTGAGAAGGAACCAGAAGGAGGGGAGGATGTTTGCCGTGGACACTGACTGAGTCCCTACATGTGGTCTGCTTGGCTTCTCTCCCTTCCCTCCTCCAGGCCTCCTTGAACATGTAGGGCAGGGGGGCTGAGTCCCCTCTGAGGTGTAGGTGCCTGGGCAGGTAAGGGTGGCTCTTGGGGGGCACTGGATGGGACTCCTGTGTCCTCCTGAGGGACCACAAGGTCAGTGAGGGGCAGGAGCTGCCCAGGCACTGCCAGACCAGAGCATGGGCGGTGCCCCAGTGGCACAGTGCTGACAGGAGGGGAGGCTGGCAGAATCACGGTCCCCAAAGATGTCCACGTCTCAGTCCCTGGGATCTGCCAGGATGTTCCCTTACATGGCGAAAGGGACTTTGCAGGTGGGATGAAGTTAAGGATCTTGAGATGGGGAGATGGTGCTGGATTACGGAGAAGGACTTTATGTGATCACAAGTGGAAGTCATTTCACTTATAAGTAAAAGCAGGTGGCAGGGAGGGGGTCAGAGTCAGAGAGAGATCAGAAGATGCTGTGCTGTTGGCTTTGAAGATTCAGGAAGGGGCCACGAGCTTAGGAACACAGGCAGCCTCTAGAAGCTGGAAAAAGCAAGTCACAGCTTCTTCCTTCAAGTCTCCAGAAGGAGCACAGCCCTGCCAGCACCTTGACATTAGCCAGATGTGGCTGATTTTGAACTTCTGCCCTCTAGAACTCTAAGATAATAGATTAGTGTTGTTCTAAGCCACAAAGCTTGTGTTCATTTGTTACAGCATCAGCTGGACACTAATACAAAGGTCAAGACCTCACCCTGCCCAGGACTCCAGGGACTGTAACCTACGCGACCAGCAGAGACCTCTTCCTGATCAGTCCAGTGGATGCTGCCCGCCAGCCTGCAGGACCCGGCTGCGTCTGCAGCCGGGCTTTTTTTCAGGAGGTTGCCTTTACCAGTTGCTGCCTGTGTTTACGTGAAGTTGGCCAGAGAGGAGAAATTATCCTTCATTGCTTCCTAGTTCTAGCTCTGATATGTGCCTGACACATAGTAGTCAATTAACAGCAGCTACTGATACTACTCCTAATACTGGATTCTACTTGAAAAACTCGGGGGTGATGTCAGGCAAGTCTACTAGAGATGATTCGCCAACTTCTGTGTGATATTTTCTGAGTTCTGCGTATTCTAAAGCTGGCACCTGCTACTCAGGGGACAGCGTGCCCTTCATCAACAAATTAGCTTTCTTCAAATTAATTTCAGTTCCGACAGTGAGGTGATGATAAAGGCATTTGAGATACAGATACAGATATTAAAGAATGTCAACCTAGTTACATAATAAGATACTGTTTTCAAACCACAAATAACCCAACCAGTTACTGGCCTTATGGAAGTTTTGTAGGTGACTCTGGGGAGACCAATTCGATTTTTATAAATCAGAATTGGTAGATTGTAACTGGTCAGAGATCACACGGAGCTCTAAGGGCTGTGTTCAACTTGACAGGTTTCATATGACCCTGCTGAAAAGACCTGCTGAAAATGCCCTCCTGGTCCAAACCCTCCCCCTCCCCCTCCTCTTCTGGAAAAGCGACTAAAACCCAAAGGAGGCATGGAATGCAAGTCTCTTTAATTGACCCAAAATTACGTTTTAAAAAACCATACACTTACAGAAAGCTGAAAAGTCTGCCAATATTAGTTGTAAAAGGAAGGTTTGTGGTTTGTTTTTTTTTCCCTGAGATGGAGATCCTCTCTAACTTCTTACTCGTATAAAAGAGAAAAAAAAGGTGGTCATTTACTTACTCAGACAAAATGAGAGCGATCACAACTTCAGTGGGGTTTTCTGATGGTGAAAGCTGGCTTTGGAGATATTTTCTGCTCTGGGAAGCGCTGTGGAAGTGTGAGGGCCTTAAATTACATAACCCCCACACCAGTGATGTCATTGGTGGGGCTGCCAGAAAAGTGGGCCTTTCAGGAGGGAGCAAGCTGGGATTTTGAAAGGAAGCCTGTCTTGCACTTTGGGGCTGGCAAGAGATGACTCACCCACTATCTCCCTCTTTACTGTGGTAACATCTGGGAAGCCCCATGATCTTGCCCAAGAATGGTACAGCAGCCAACATGCCCTTCAAACACACGTGGGCATCACTGAGTCCCAATGAGCATCGCCCTGTATCTGTGGACACTGAGCGGTGACTTTGCCTATTCGCGCTGGGGGCCTGAATGCCTGGGGTTCTGCAGCAGCTTTTGTGGAAGCTGACTTGATTATCCCCTTTTGAATTTTGGCCATAAAGGGTATGGCGCCAAGAATCCATCACTGTGGACCCTGTTAAACAAACAGTAAGCCAGGAAAAGCTTGACTCATGCAATGTGCAGAGTTGAGTAAAATCGGATGAACTTTTCCCTAAACCCCCCTGGCAGTTCTGAAATCTGTTTCTGATGTAAGTCTGCACGTATCAAGTGGAGCCACTCAGGGCCTCGTGTTCAGACCATCAGAAACTGCTGGTTTTCCGTGAGTGTCAGGCCTCAAGATCCTTTGACTGAATGACGCCTACGTTCTGTCCTGGCTGCTAAAAATCAAGACCTTTCAAGCTCCCCCGCCAAGTGCAGGAGATGCTTCTGCACCAGGGCTTTGATTCTGGAAAGTGACCCCCAAATCTCAGGCCTCAGCACCCCATACCCTAGTCCTGCCTCTGGGACCCTCTGCTAGCCTTTCTTGATGTCACCTTGCACCCAGCGTGTCTGGAGCACAAAACGTCCCCTTTGTCTTCAGCATCTGGCGCCCTTGTCGTGTCTCCCTTTTCTGTTACTGACACCTCAATGGGGACAAACTACACTTTTGAATTTTCTAGCCGCTTTCACCCATTGCTGAACGCCTTAAAATTATGGGAGCTGGTTATAGGGAAAAAAAAAGGACCACGCTAAGAGTCAGGAGCGGATCTGCGTTTTAGGAAGGAAGCTGGGATTTACCTTTAGGGAAGGGCTCTTCACGTCAGGAGAGACTTGGGATGTTTTCAGTCATGCCGATGTTAGGGAAGTGCCTGCCATCATTTTGGGATAAATTTTAGCCAGAAAAGGTTCTGCAAATCCCAGTCCTTTTTAGTGAGTAATGTCAACTGGGATGTCGTCAGCCGGACCCCCTTGGCAGAGGCGGTCGGCTTTTCTCCCTTTGATGCGAGTTTAGACAAGACCGTTTCTGAGAGGTGTCTGTCCTTGGGAGATGTCTTCCTGCCCGGGCACATGTTTCCCCCCCGGAGAAGACCAGCTCTGCCAGGACAGCAGTGCGCAGGCCTGATCCTGGCTTTGCCTCGTGCAGAGGGCAGGCTGTGAGAAGGGGCCAGTGCATGGCGGGCCACGTGGCCGGGACTGCCGGCGCCTCACATGCCACCGGTGGCGGCTGCAAGTGGTCTTTTGGGGACGGACTCTCGGGCAGCCTTGCCAGGGCCGGGGGGCCCCCACCCCGTGGGTGGAATGGAAAATTCTGTAAGGAAGATGGATGTTCTCACAGCCACTCACCAAGGTTGGGAAATAGGCAGTGGGCCTGGATCCAGGGAGGGGAGGGTGTGCCTCTGCCTCTGAGGCTGTGGGGTGTGGGAGCCTGAATTCTGGGGCTGAGGGCAGGATGAGGGAGCCTCACGTCTAGAAAGGCCCACAGGCCCCCAGAACATGGAGACAATGGGAGGGGACTATGAGACAGAGCTGAGGCTGTGAGCATTTATCTTTAACAGAGACCATGCTGGTCCCCATGATTGGGAATGCATCTGTGAGATGCAGAACTCAGGGTTTTCAGTTTTCAGAACTGAGTGCTGAAGAGAACTTTCACATTTCTGGAAGACTCGAGGTCATCCTTGACCGGCAAGCAAGCAGAGAAAACTACGTGTAGTTGTCATTGTGGTGAGTTCTATGAAGAAGCACTCAGGAGGCAGTGTGCCACACAGCAGAGAGGGGGGTGAGCATTCGTACTTCAGGATGTCAGGGAGACAGAGGGAACACTGGCGCTATGAGGAGAAACCAACTGTAGAGTCAGAGGAGCTCAGGGCAGGCAGAGGGAACAGCATAAGTGAAGGTCCTGGGGCTGCTCAAGGAACTGAAGAAGCAAGCGTAGGAAGTGGAACGGCTGGAGAGAAGGTGGAGGGTGGGCAGGGCGAGCCCAGATGGAGCCTGGGACAGCAGTTTATGGAGTTCAGAGTTTCCCATGTCCAGTGACATTGCAGGTTGCAGGTGAGCCACGGGGTCAGGACCTGGGAGAGCGACAGGAAGGAAGAAGGATTGAGCAAAGGAAGCACTGAGCTGCAGGGCGGACTTAAGAGAAGCCTCCACAGATCTGTGAACATTCTTGAATGGGATGACCCTTCAGAGCTGTCTGAGTTGGGACAAGAGGGCTGGGCTTCCCTCCTCCCCTCAGCCACTGAATGCAGGATGCCCTGGAAGGCGGTGGACCTCAGGCGAAACAGCACCCTTCAGCTGAGCACCGTCTGCCAGCAGCATCCCTGGTAGTTGGGGTAACAGGTCTCTCATACCTTAAAGAATGTCTGGATGGCACATCCGCCAGAAACAGGCCGTCACCCAGGGCTTTGAAACATTTGAAAAGAACACCCTAACCCTTGTGTGGCAAATGAGTTGGAAGTATTCAAGGCTGGAAGAGGAGTTGGAACTGGGGATGGATTTGAGATGGTGCCTGGAACTGAGAGTGCCTGGTGGTGCATGGGGAAGGGGGAAGCATTACAGATTTTTCTAGGAGTAACTGGGTGGTACCATTTACTGAGATGGGGAAGATGAAGGAGGAATATGTTTTTTAAAAAGAGAATCAAAAAGGCTGGTTTTGGAATTAAGTTGGAGATGCATGTGAAATAACTAAATGGGGCTCTCCACTGGGCATCTAGGTCAGAGAAGATTCCTCAGAAGAGAGCTGGTGGCAGAGACGTGCATCAGTCAGAGCTCCCCAGAGACACAGAGCCAATAGGATCTATCTGTCTGCCTGCTTATTTATCTGCCTATCTCTCTATCTATGTATTCTATGTATCTATGTATTTATCTATCCATCCATCCATCATCCATCTATCTATCAAGAGATTTATTTCAGGGAATTGGCTCACATCATTGTGGATGCTGACAAGTCCAAAATCTGTAGGGCAGGCCAGCAGACTGGAAACTCAGGCAGGACTTGAGGCTGCAGTCTTGGGGCAGAATCTCTTCTTTTTCAAGAAACCACAGTTTGGACTCTTAAGGCATTCCTACTGCTTGGATGAGGCCTACATTATTGAGAATCATCTCCTTTACTTGAAGTCAACTGACTGGAGATGTTTGCCACATCTGCAAAATACCTTCACAGCAGCACGTAGATATGGATTTGGTCAAATAACTGGGTGCTGGAGCCCAGGCACGTTAACACATAAGACCAAGCATCGCAGTGTTTAGAGCCGTGATCCTGGCTGGGATTATTTAGGTGGGCCATGTAGAGAGATGAGAAGAGGGTTTAGGATGGAAGGCTGAGGAATTCCAACACTTAAACCTCAGGTGGAAAAGGAGACGCTGGGTAAGGAGAATAGGAAGGAGCAGGCAGTGAAGGTCAGGTTCTGTGCCAACCAAGTCTGGGAGCCTCCGTGTTAGGCAAAGTCGTGCATTAGACAAAGCACAGTGGGCAGGACTCTTGTCTGCAGACCTTCTCAGGGCCTTGAATGTGTGTCTGTGCAGCCCCATGAGGAAGATGTTGTAGCTGCATTTCTCAGACTCATTTGACTAGTCAGGAGCCAGGCTTTTGTTCTTGTGGTGGTGGTTGTTTGAGAAACTTTCGGAAACCCTGCAGAAGTAAATAATTGCACCAAAATAGCTTGAACATTGGAAGGGGAGCCCTGCAGCTCCAGAAGAAGATGATGACAGGACTCAGCTGAAGAGAAAGAATTTGGGCAACTAATTGGAGCAGGGGTGCTGAGTGAGAGGCACTGTTCTTTGGTGATGGAGCACGCGGCGGGGGGTGGGCTACCCCGAGAGGCCTCTCAGCAGGCAGGATGCCGTGGTCTCACTGCCTTGTCTCCCTCCAGGTGGACAGGAACTTGGTGAAAGAATCTGATCCCAAAGCCGGACCCCAGTCCTTAAGGTCTGATGCAGAAGTCACGGTGGGCAGGTGCCTGCCATGCAGTCACTTTGTCAGGGTTTAAATCCCTGCCCCATCACCGCTGAGCTGGGTGGACTTGGGCCACTTTCTATACCACCTCCTGGAGCCTCGGTCTCTTTTTCTTTTCCTTTCTTTTTTTTTTTTTTAGGTTAAAAAATTTTTAAATTATTTTACTTTGTTTTTAAAATTATTTTTATTACTTTTATTTTAAAATTAAATAAATTAATAAAATATTCATTTTATATTTATTTTTAATTAAAATTTTTAATTAAAATTTTTATTTTTTATTTTTTAGCCTCAGACTCTTAGTCAGTGGAGCAGGCCTCTGCTCAGAGTTTGGGGATCGCATGAGATGGCGTGCTGACGTGGCGGCCCTTGGTCAGCAGCCAGCGGGAGCTGTCCCGGCTTTAGCCCCTTGCGGTGGTAGTGTGGGCACAGGAAGGGCTACATAAGCAGTCCTGCGTCTGGGCCGGGGCTGGGGAGAGGAATGGGCATGCTCTGCTGCCTTCTGAGTGGGCCGTGCAGTGACTCAGCCTGGAGGGAGGCGTCCAGATGGGCCTCGGAGCCCTGTCCTGGGCCATCTTTCAGGCTTGTTTATAAACAGCCTCCCGCTGAGGTGGGCTTGGCGGCTGGGCTGTCGGGAAGCCCAGAGCCTGGCCCCGTGGCCTCCTCTTAACCTGGTCCGAGACTCCCTCCCGGAATGGGCTTGCCTTTTAGGGAAGGAGGAGAGAAACGAGGCAGCCCGGGTCCCGGGTGAGCAGCGACGGGGCACAGAAACGCAGCACCACGGAGCCTGTGGTGCGCACGCTGGGGCCCCAGGCCAGTCCCTAACATGCTGCGTCACCTTGAGAGAGGCCTCAGCACCCTCCTTTGTAAGAAATCTCAAGAATTCTGTAAGATGGCATATCCCATTCTCACTTAGGAAACCTTCTGTTGCCAACTAGCAGCTCCAGCCCCCAGGAGACCTGAAGGAAGCGTCTGGTCCCCTCTTCGTTTGTTAGGGTTGGGGTGTGCACGGACGACCTTCACGGTGAGCAGGTGCTCAGAGCTGTTACAGAGTTGTAACAGCTCCCGCATCAGTCTCCTGGAGCGGCCGCATCAAAGTACCCCAGAAGGTGTGGCTTAAAGGAACAGAAATGTATTCTCTCCCAGGTAAGGAGGCTGGAAGTCCAGAATCAAGGTGCTGGCAGGGTGGGTTCCTCCTGGAGGCTCTGAGGGAAAGTCTGTTCTAAGGCTCTGCCCCGCTTCCAGTGGCTCCAGGCAACCCCTGGTGTCCCTCGGCTTGTAGAAGCATCACTCCATGTCTGCCTTCCTCTTCTCAAGGCCTTGTCTCTGTGTCTCTGAGAGTCTTTTCTTCTTATTGGGACCCCAGTTACTGGATTCGGGGCTGATCCTTATCCAGTATGACCTCATCTTAACTTAATTACTTCTGCAAAGACCTTATTCCCAGATAAGGTCACATGCTGAGGTGCTGCATGGACATGAATTTTGGAGGGCAGGGGACGCTATTCAACCCACTAGGACACCTTTCTCTTGTTAATCTTTGTAACACCTAGATCCTCATTTTATAGGCAACCCCCCCAAAACTTGGAGCAGTTAACTGATTGTGGCAAGTGGCAGAGCTGGTGTGTGACCTGGGAACCTGGCCCCAAGTCCGGGGGGTCCCTGTCCTGTTGCTGTTGCCCCTTACAGGTTACAAAGCCCCCTTTCCAGAGTCATTAGCTCTGGGTGACCTAGGCATACTTATTCTATCATCTGCCCATTTGACTGATGAGGAAACTGAGGCCAAAGGCCGAGGCGGGAAATGAGTAAAGTGCTTTGCCAAGATCACTTGGCAAGTAGGTGGCACGGTAGGGACTCAAGGTCTGGCCTCCGGGGTTCTTCCTCTACAATTAAATATTACATTTCAGTGTAGGCTGGGGAAAGAAGCCAGACACGGAGGCACAGACTGCATGATTCCGTCTACATGTAATGTCTGGCACAGGCAAATCTAGAGACATAAGGAAAGCTAGTGGCTACTGGAGGCCATGAGGAGCGAGGAATGCAGTGACTGCTAATGGGTGTGGGACTTCACTGTGGGGTGATGCCTGGGCTCTGGAATTAGAGAGCAGGGCTGGTTGCATAATTCTGTGAATACACTAAAAGT